TTACAAATATTTGTGCTGTAAAAAACAAAATAAATAGTATTTTTCAATTCACCTCAATCAAGTACTGTAGTGCAATCTCTTTATCATGAAAGTTGAACTTACAGATGTAGAATTAGGTACAAAAAATAACTGCATTAAAAAATAAAACAATGTAAAACTTTAGAGCCTTCAAGCTCACTCAGTCCTATTTCTTGTTCAGCCAGTCGCTCAGACAAACAAGTGTGTTTACATTTGAAGGAGATAATGCTGCTCGCTTCTTGTTTACAGTGTCACCTGAAAGTGCAAACAGGTGTTCACATGGCACTGTGCTAGATGCGCTAAAGATTCACATGTCCCTTCATGCTTCAACCACCATTCCAGAGGACATGCGTCCATGCTGATGATGTGCCAAGACTACTTCTCCCCCTGCTTTCCTGCCCTACCAGCTTGGGAATTCAGTGTCCTGCCTGATGTGAGCCAGACCTGCTAGCCTGCTGCAAACCCAAACCCAGGTCCGAACCATGTCCCCTAACGCTGTAGGCTTAATTGAAAGCAGCTTAAGAAATGTTCTTGTCTTTAACACTCAGATGCCCAACTCCCAATGGGGTCCAAACCCTAAATAAATCCATTTTACCCTGTGTAATGCTTATACGGGGTAAACTCATAAATTGTTCGCCCTCTATAACAGTGATAGAGAGATATGCACGCTGTTTGCCCCCTCCCCCACAGGTATTAATGCATACTCTGGGTTAATTAATAAGTAAAAAGTGATTTTATTAAATACTGAAAGTAGGATTTAAGTGGTTCCAAGTAGTAACAGACAGAACAAAGTGAATTACTAAGCAAAATAAAACAGAACACACAAGTCTATATCTAATACAGTAAGAAAACTGAATGCAGATAAAAACCTCACCCTCAGAGGAATTCCAGTAAGCTTCCTTTTACAGACTAGTCTTCTTCTAGTCTGGGTCCAGCAATAACTTACTCCCTGTAGTTACTGTCCTTTGTTCCAGTTTCTTTCAGGTATCCTTGGGGGGTGGAGAGGCTGAAGCCAGCTGAAGACAAAATGGAGGGGTTTTCCAGGCGTTTAAATAGACTTTCTCTTGTGGGTGGAGACCCCCTCCTCTCTCCTATGCAAAGTCCAGCTCCAAGATGGAGTTTTGGAGTCACATGGGCAAGTCATATGTCCATGCATGACTCAGTTTTTACAGGCAGCAGCCATTGTTTACATGCTACCCTGAACGTCCTCAGGTAGACTTCTTATGTGGATTGGAGCCTTCCAAGAATCATTGTCCTTTAAGTGTTTCTTCATTGGGTACTTAATTTGCACATTCCTTTCTCAAGAAGCTGACCAAATGCTTTACTAAGGCTACTTAGAAATCAAGCAAGTACACAGCCAATATTCATAACTTCGAATACAACAATGACACATGCAGTCAAATAGGATGAATAGATTCAGTAGATTATAACCTTTACAGAGATTTGTTACATGGCATATGTAGCATACAACATATTCCAGTTATGTCATATATACATTCATAAGCATATTTCCATAAAGCCTCATGGGGTACACTGTCACAGGTACCTTCTTTGCGTTTTGTCAAATCTGCAGTGAAAGTGTTCTTAAAACAAACAACATGTGCTGGGTCATCATCTGAGACTGCTATAACATGAACTATTTGGCAGAATGCGGGTAAAACAGAGCAGGAGATATACTATTCTTCCCAAAGAGTTCAGTCAAAATTTAATTAATTTTTTTTTTAATGAGTGTCATCAGCATGGAAGCATGTCCCCCGGAAGGGTGGCCAAAGCATGAAGGGGCATACGAATGTTTAGCACATCTGGCACATAAATACCTTGTAATGCTGACTACAAAAGTGCCATGCGAATGCCTGTTTTCAATTTCAGGTGACATTGTAAATAATAAGTGGGCAGCATTATCTCCTGTAAATGTAAACAAACTTGTTTGTCTTAGCGATTGGCTGAATAAGAAGTAGAACTGAGTGGACTTGTAATCTCTAAAGTTTTATGTTGTTTTGTTTTTGAGTGCAGTTATGTAACAAAAAAAATCTATATTTGTAAGTTGCACTTACATGATAAAGAGATTGCATTATGGTACTTGTATGAGGTGAATTGAATACTATTTCTTTTGTTTATCATTTTTACAGTGCAAATATTCGTAATAAAAATTATAATATAAAGTGAGCACTGTACACTTTGTATTCTGTGTTGTAATATAAATCAATATATTTGAAAATGTAGAAAAAATCCAAAATATTTAATAAATTTCAATTGGTATTCTATTGTTTAACAGTGAGGTTAAAACGGCGATCAGTCGTGAATAATTTTTTTAATTGCGATTAATTTTTTTTAGTTAATTGCGGGAGTTAACTGCGATTAATTGACAGCCCTAATATCAAGCACAGCTTCTTCAGTCTGAGGTATTTGATTGGTATCCTCTTTCAGAGAGTAGTTCTAAATTCATTGTGATCATTTGCCAGGATTTTCCCAAAAGTAATCTATGAATATACCAAAGTATGATAGTGTTTTTTCTCCAGTGCCATAAATCTGCATAACACTTTGCAGTCATAAGAAAATATCGTCCATCCCAGGAAGGCTTTGCAATTTAGGGGCCAATTTTTCATACTTTTTATCTAAGGTACTTATATAACCTCCCATCACTGAACACTTTACAATCTTTAATGTATTTATCCTCTCCCCTGAGAGGTAACGATGTGCTATTATGCTCTTTTTACAGATGGCGATCTAAGGCACAGAGAGACTACAAGGTTGTCTACAGGACAAGACTGTGGCAAGCTAGGGGGTGAATCTAGATCGCACAAGCCTGCTGCAGTCTCACTGCCTGTATGGGGGCCTGCTGATGCATGTCAACAGTTTATTAGAGCACTTTGAGCTAGTGTTATTTGAGTGCTAGATCAAAGCACATTAACTAACTGTTAAGTCCCAGTCTAGCTCACTCCCTATTGGGTCATCTTTCCTATTCTATAATATGGCCTGCTCTGGTGCATGAATTCCAACCATCTGTGGATAGTGTCAGTAAAGCCAGTTGCTACACCTCATGTCTAGTCCCCCCTTCTCAAGTGGTGGGTATGTTGGGGGCAAGTCTGAGAGGAAGGAGATGTGGCTTAAGTGCTACCATGCTTCAGTGATGTTCTGGGGGCATACTGGTGCCTTGAGACCTAAGTTCCCTCTAAGCTGCATGGCCACGCAGCTGCCTATTAAGTGCTGTGCAGGCGCTCAGGGCTGCAGGGCGGGAGAGATACCCCTCTCCCGGCCCCAACCCAGCCCAGCCCCGAACTTGCCGTGGCTGGGGGACAGGCGCCCCTTGTCCGGTCCTGAACCTGCCACAGCTGAGGGACAGGCGTCCCTCCCCTGGCCCCGACCCAGCCCACACCCTCAGCTAGAGCTCTTACCCCTCTGCACCCCAACCCTCTGCCCCAGCCCCGAGCCCCTCATACCTGGCCCCACCCCAGAGCCCACACCGTCAGCCGGAGCCTTCAGCCCCCTACACCCAAACCCTCTACCCCAGCCCTGAGCCCCCTCCCACACTCCGAACCCCTCAGACCCACCCCGCCACATGAATTTTGTTATGTGCACCAATATGGAGGTGGTGTATCACACACCACCTCCATATTGGTGCACATAACAAAATTCATTCCGCACATGGGTAGGAAAAATTAGAGGGAACACTGCTTGGGACCATAAACGGCTGGCACAATTTAGAAAAGCCTGAAGGCTGCATGAGGACTGGGCCAGCATAGAACCAGTTCCAGAATCAGAAAGTCACAACTGCCTCTTTTACCTACTCCCAAAGCTGCAGCGAGTGCATAGTCAGTAGTGGTAGGAATCTAAGAATATTATTTATTCAGATGATCTTAATGGAGTTTCTCATATTCTCTATTCCCTCCTTTGTTTGGAGTGTGAGATCAAGAAATACAGAGATTAAAGTTTAACAAGCCTGGTACCATGTACAAAATATAAACGTGGTCTTAAATCATCACTGGGAAATTTACACTACTTGCTCTGGTGTTTTGATGCAGCTGTCAAAGGCAGAGGCTCTTGTGGTTAAATATAGCCTTTTTAGCCTCATGGCTCAGTCTCTTTTGTGTGTGGTTTCTCAGCATTATTTTACTTTACTCTGAAGGTGGGCTGAGCATAGGAGAGTCTGACGAAACAGTGGGCTGGGCCCTTGATCTGTGAGAGCTCCTGCCTTCTTGTGAATGACTACATTATAGAGAGCAGTACGCAGCAGCAGCAACAGAGTGGTGCTCTGCTCCTCCAGCTCTGCTTGGCAGGCGAGCCTCAAGTTCAGTGAACATCTACAAAAGCTAGAGAACTTTTCATCTTCCTCTGCAGATGAATTCTGCCTAATTGCACCAGGAAAATGGGCACAGGGGATTATATCTGCATTTCCATGAGTGGAGGGGCACCTTGGGGCTTTAGACTGCAAGGTGGCAAGGAGCAAAAGCAGCCTTTGCAAATCGCTAAGGTAGGACAATGAGAGAGATGTTATAAGTGTATTACGACAAGGAGGGAAAGAAAGAAAGAAAGAAGCTTTTTGTGATCTATATAGCTTCCAGTCAGAAGCCTTGAGGCAAGTTTTATTGTGGGGCTGGCTATGTTTGTTGGAAATGTATTTGGGGAGCTGCTTCCACAGGTGCAGACAGTGATTTTTTTTTAAATGATAGGTAATTCTTACCTTTTGATTACCTACAAGTACCACAGCTGTTTTCTTGCATGGGAAGGGCAGAATCTTATGAGATGATGAGTGCCTTCTGTGCCTACTGAATTCATTGGGTGTGGTGGAAGTCACTCAGCACCACACAGGATTGGGTCCCCGGTTAGCAAACCCAGTTTTGACTATTGATTTGTGACACTTTCTCTAGTCCTGGCATGGAATAAATAAATGATTTGGCATGAGAAAGTGTTCCTACTATTTTGGGACTCCTGGAAAGCATTACCCAGAGAGGAATCACTTCATATTAATGAAAAGTACATTGTCTGGAAATAGCTTTAATAGTTGCCAAACATGCCCTGATACGTATTTCATGGATTATAACCTGAAAATTGTTGAGCATATCACAGTTTATATTTATATATGAAGTGAAAGTACACAACAAAAAGTCTAAAACAACTTGGAACGGTCTCAAACCATGACATTTTGGAACAATTTTTTTTAAGTAGTTTGATATAAAATAAATATTCATTTTATTACAGACTATCGTTTTTCATGGTTATTAGGAATTGTAGAATGATAGCCATGTTGCCACATTATGTCATCTTAGACAAGGGGCCATTCTGTCCCCAACTATGGTATAAGCACAAATTCAATACTGCGAGAGCAGATTTTGGACTAGTGAATATAATAAATCCTGTCAGATTAACTTGAAGTCCAGAGATTAACTTGTATTTTATACCAATAAAATAAAAAAAGGAAACAAGAAAAAAAGGGGTATAGTCATTATCTCATAGTACTCAGTACTAGGTAGGTTGCTAAATTTTTAGGAATTTGATTTTGGGGCATTATTAAGCTAGTTCTTTAATCTTGTACTTCTTTTAGCTGGTAATATACATACTAATTACAGTTGCATTAAACTAATTGGGTTAGTTAGTTTTTCCAATTAGCAGAAATATTAGATATGGGAGAAAAGGATTTTACTTGTTTAAAACCAAGGGCTTGTGTCCGTTCTTTTGCTAGGAAAATAACATCTTTCATTCTGTTTTCTCTGAATTACTTCCAGCCATAAAATTTATCTTATTCAATAGTCAAGCTGCAGTTTATTGAACGTATTTTTCTCTTATCACTTGTAAGTATCATTGTCTCTTAACGTTTATTTTTAAATATTTCACAATACTCTAACAGTGTTTTTTGTTTAAAAAAATCAAAACCTGTTTGCATGCAACTCTTTCTTTGCAAGTAACTTCATCGATAGTAGGTGATGGTGGAATCCTGCCACCTAGTGAAAACATCAAGGAATGCAAAAGTCAAAGCAGATGGGTAGAACTGGGGTAGCTTTTGTTTGTCAAAGCAAAGCAAAGCAAAACCATGGTAGTTTTGACACAAGGTTCAGGTATGGCCCATCTCTGTTACAGACAAAGATGGGTAAAGTCAGGGGTTTTACAAAAACAAAAAACCCAGAGATAGTTTGGATGTGTCCTAAGACTAATGCACCAAAACCACTAAACCACTTGAACCCTAAGGTTGGGAGAACTAGCCAAGTGATTACAGTTGTGACACATCTCTAAAAGCAGGAACCAATAGTTTTTAGAAAGGATCATTAAGGAAAGTATGTGTGTTTTACTTGTAATAAAAACCAATCAAATGGCCAAGTAATGCAAAAACTTTAGAACAAGCTTTATAAAAACAAAATGATATATATTTGGAAGGTACTGTTGGTAAACTAATGTCTCATGAAGTTGATTATGGGTACCAGAGTTTTAATTCCTCAGCTGCTGGTTATGATATGGCCCAGATCACTAGGGACGGAAAGCTGTCATTTTTGACTGGCCCAAGACTGCTCCTTCACAAGGCCAAGAACTTTTTTGGAAACCCAACTTGTCAATACCTTTCCCACCACATGCCTTTTCCTATCGTGACCAACCATGGAGAGTACTGTTAAAATCCAGCCAGGGCTCAATAGGGGCCTGCTATCTGACTCCCCACAAGATGTTCTGAATTGGCAGATCTCCAGGTCAGCCAGCCCTGTCTACTGGATGGGTTGCACTGACAGGTTCTGGGTGCGCAGGCAGATTAGGGTTTACTTGGTGCCCTGCATATCAACAAACACAGGCTCTGTCAGACCAGCAAGAGAAGTGAATTTTAGAGTAAGGGTTTGTCTAGACTGGGAAAACAAGTTATGTTTGGGAATGTATTAGCTAACACACTTTAATTAATGTGCACCTGTTCTAGGCGCGGCATGTTGTGTTTAAAAAACATCAGCTGTTTGAGGATAACCCTAGCGCCCCCTATGGTTGACCATGACCAACTAACTCAACATGAATTGCCCAAAATAGTGTTTAAAACTGTTGGTTAAAATGGAGAGCGACAAGGTGGATAAGGTAAGATTTTTTATTGGACCAACTTATTTTGGTGAGAGAGAGACAAGATTTGAGCTTACACAGAGCTTTTCTTTAGGTCCCTTTTTTTAATATATATATAACTCATTTTCTAACATGACTTATTTTTGATGTCTAGACAAGCCCTAAAAGGCCCCTTGCTGAACATATCCTGCTGTCAGTCTTCGGATACCAGGCCCTTCAGCTGCTTTTAATTTTGGGGTCACAATACAGGGAGAGGGTCAATCTCTAACATGGCTAGGACCCAACCCCTATATGGCTTATAAAACACTAATGAATTGTACCCGAGCATGAACTTTTCTCAGTATTGTTTCAGGTTGCTTCAAACCGTTTGCGTTTCACTTTCGGTTTCAGGTTCCTTTTGAACAAAATATGGTGAAATTAAATCCATATTGAAACCCCTCCGCATCTACTTGTTGCAGAAGTTCCTGAGTCTAACATAATTATGTAACCAACTGCCATATGGTTCATTACTGAACCTGAGGTAAAACAGTCTAAAAAAAAAAATCCAGAGACAGCAAAACGTTTTGTTGAGTGTTATGGCGAAACGTTTATGAGCACTAAAAATGTTTGTATGGAACCTAGTTGGTTTTGTTTGATTTGAACTCTAAACTAGCCAAATATCTCATGGCTTCAGGTAGGGCTGTGAATAATAGTTACAACAGACCATGAAAACCTAAAAAGTAAAGGTTTTCACTTTCAGTTTCATGTTTTGAGTAAAGAAAAAAAATGCCTTTTGTGTGAAAGCAAAACTTCTTTGGTGCAAAGTCACTGGATAAAGAATTGCAAAATGGTTCCTCTTTCCCCCCAATGCCAACTCCAACCCCAACCCAAACCCCAACCCCAAATACACAGCTTTTGACATTTCAGTGCAATAGGATTGTAGTTATGCACTTGTAGCTTGGTATGGTTTAAAACAAAGGAAGGGAAATTTGCAGTGGATTTTATTCCATTTTATAAAGACTATTCTGGAGCCTACAACGAATTCAGTTGTGCTAAAAAAAGCATGTAAAGTCTCTAATATTGTTGTTTTTTTTAAAAAGGCCCAGTCCTTCTACCAATTGAGATATAGGTTGTTCTGCCATGATATCAATGAGAGAAGGCTCAGACCCAAAGTTTGTGCCAACATAGATAAAATATGGTAGTGTGTCACCTTCGGAGAGGAATCTTTTTATTGGCATAATCTTTTTTTACCAGTGTATTCTCAGAGCTGATCAGAAATCAATAAGCAGTGGGGCACACTTCTCAATAGTGTTAATTTTCCCACAACCTCACAGGGAATTAGAGACTGTTCTTCTTTTACCTTTAGTGGTAAATCTTTTTTCTTTTAGGGGGAGAAAGGATTAAATGTCCTTTGAAGCATCATGAGGTTTGAGTATTGGAAGTTATGTTGCTTGAATAGTTCTACTCTGCAAAGTCTTCTATCTTTAGTTAACAAGACTTTGACATAGCTATACGTGAACTCATTTGCTTACATATTTGTTACACATAATGGATCAAATTAATCCATGGTATAACTGCATTAACTCACCTGATGTCAATAGAGCTACAAGAGGAATTAATCTATCCCATTATATATAATGGATGTTAAGTGTTTACTACGAAAACTCACATAACAAGGTGGGAAAGTCATGTTTTTCTTTGAAGTGGTTTTCTGGATATTATTTTTTCTTTAATTTAGTTTTTATATTTTATAAAATTAAAACTTTAAAAAAATCCAGGTCCTTCACTTATGTTATGGTGGACAGAGAAGGCACATGAACATAAAGATAAAAATGCCATCTTATTTTCATGCAGCCTGGCTTTTTAGACAGTTTCGTTGTTATTTCAGGAAAACATGTAAGCATATTTTGCTCTGAATAGGGATGCATATGTGAATCGGGGCCTTAGTATATGTATTATACACTGGTCTCAACCATTCTGTACTTTTTATTACTCTGAATAGCTAAGTATTTATTTTTTAAAACAAAACATTCATTCTAATAGATGAAAATCAGTAAAGCCACTTCATTCTCTTTGAGCAATACTATGAATATAAACATTTTGTCACTGAAAAGAATAGCTCTAGTTTACTGCATCCATAGAATGCTCAAACTCTTTTTTTTAATTAAGTAAAACTCTGTTAAATATTTACAAAATTATTAGCCATAAGTATTAATGCTATGTTTGGAATCATACCTAGAGGATGAGGTTTTCTGTTTGATTATTCCTAGCAAAAATAATCCAGAGAAAATACTTAAACTTTCTGGGGGGAAAAGCTCTATCTCTCCATCAGCTCTTAGAATGATAAAGCCATTTTGCTGAACACAGAAAAAATAATTGATTTCAAGGGGGTTGTGTGGGGCTTTTTGTGGTGTTGTTGTCTTTGAGAGTGCGCCATGTAGGGTGACCAGATGTCTCGATTTTATAGAGACAGTCCCGATTTTTGGGTCTTTTTCTTATATAGGCTCCTATTACCCCTCCAACCCCTGTCCCGATTTTTTACATTTGCTATCTGGTCGCCCTAGCGCCATGGATTATCTTATTTCCCTCACTGTTCCACACCCCCTCATCCTGTGTTCTGCATCACATCAGAGCTACTATTTGCTGGCTGTAGAGGCCTGGCTGAATTTCTCTCCAGAACACATCAGTTCTGCACAGTACACGTACTGCACCAGGCACCAACGAGAGCAAAATCTGTGCAGCTTTTCCAGCTCCTGCTGGCTCAGGAAGCCAGAAATAAACAATTAGGCCCACTGACTTCAATCAAACTATTCTGACTGTCACCAGTTGAGGATCTGGCCCTTACTTTTTTTTAACATCGTTGGCTCCTTGAGCCTTATAAGAAAATATATGCACATGCATTAGCTGAGTAATCAAAAATATATACCTTGAAAGTTTAGGGGGGAATCCTCCTGATTTTATTTTTTAAAGCATTATTGATTTTAGTTCTCGTGAAGGGTATGAGGCTGACAGTGTTAAAGGCTAAAGATGACTGTCCATAGAATGAACCCCCTAGCAGTGGAAAGTCTCATTAGGGTAGACTGGCAAGTAAGGCATATTTACACACAGTCTTTTGCCTGCGGAGTTGTTTGGAGGGGCTGTATTTCTTTTCTGAAGAAGGCTTTATTAAGTCCTTTAACTGATACTGACCCAATTTAATAACCAATAATATTTTGCCTGTGCACATAGGACTTGATCCAACGCCTATTTCAGTCAATGGCAAACTTCCATTCACTTCAGTGGGGCAGCAGGAGGCCGTTATAGAGATTTGATTAAAAATCATTTTGAAAATTGAAAAACAATAAATTTAATTTGCCAAAATCAAGTGGAAACTGCCTAGTTTTGAACTCTGATGCTGAAATACTATGTTTGTCTTTCTGGCACTGAGTAGATAATGAAAAAGAAATTATTTCTAATATACCTTTACCACAGGTGGGGTTATCTGGGCTTCCAAAGTGTAGGGTTGTGAGTTTTTAAGTCATTTCATTACAGAGGGAAGGAAGGAAAGCTTTCTACTCCAGCAGCAATGCCAATGGAAGTGTTTAGTACTAAGGCACTAGTGTACTGCACAGCAGAACTGACACAACTGTATACCCTGTTTGGATATGCAGCCTCCATACCAAACTGTTTTTGGCATACTTTCCAAAAGCATTTATGCAAATACAATATGGTCTGGATATATGGCAAATATTCATTTGTGTTTGTTTCTAATAGATAAACTTCAAAACTTTATGCCAAGAGAGTTTTCAGTGGGAGAGAGTACATATTGGCTCAATATAAATAACTTAAGAAAGTAAAGTCTGTATCTAAATACTAAACTTACATTAGCTCCTTTGTGTAGCGCTTTGCTTCATTGTTTGAATTCTTTGCTGGAAACATTTAAAGTGTATTGTATTTTATTGTTTTGTATTTCCTGCCATTCTATTCTTATTAACTTAATAGTAAGTTTTCTTGGCTAAATTTGCAGCAAAACAGCATGACAGAAAATGATGTTTATAATATCCTTTAGGATTGTATCAGGTCATTAGAAAGAATAACTCCAGTACTTGTGTGTATCACAGAAGGGGGCTCTTGCATGCAGTGTGGAACCTGGGTTGCTTTACACTTATCTTCTCAAGCAGAAATTATTGAAGGGGCCCATTATTCGGGGGATTAACGCTCAGAGTTTATCACACTATAAAATGGCTTTTATTTTAAGAGATTGCTTCTAGTTTTGGAGGAACAATTTTGTCCCTGCAATTAATTGTGGACAACAATGAGAGGATTTAGAGAGTGAGCTACCTGACTGAACCCAGAATTCATTTCTACCACTATTGCTGGCAGGAACAAAAATGACACCACAAAATTGGAGGGCATATTGAGGGGCTTAAAAATTGGGACCAATAAAAACATGTTATATAAGGAATGATGTTTTCCACACTTTCTTCAGGTAGTTAGCTTTTCTCATCAGACCCTGCAGCCCTTGTGAGTGCACCAGTCACATTGGACAATAATGGAAGGACTGCAGGATCAGGCTTCAAGTTGAGGATGGTCAAAGCAGCAAGACTTGAGCACACACCAGTGCTAGTCTACACTGGGAAATTATATCAACATAGCTACATCCCTTGGGGTGTTAAAAATCCACATCCCTAAGAGATGTGACTGTGCTAACCTAACCCCCGGTGTAGATAGCCTCTTGGGAGGTGGATGACCTACACTCATCGGAGAACCCCTCCCATCGGCATAGGTGGTGCCTACAGCGGCTACACAATAGCGTTTTATTTGCTGCTCATACTCCAGTGTAGTATAATGTGGAGTATGAGGGCCAAAATTTTAAAAAGAGCTGAGCACCCAACTCCCATTGAGAACAATGGGAGATGGAGGTATGCTGAGCACATTTGAAATTTGGCACTTGGTGGGTGCCTAATCACCTAAAATGGAGTTGAGCTTTTCTGAAAAAAATAAAAATAATAATAATAAAAAAAAAATCTAGCCCTAAGCTCTCTCGTGTTGACTGGAACTCTGAGCTTCAAACGTAAGTCCCCTGGGTAATATGCCATCTATTGCAGTTCTGACTGGGGCACATGAGTGGATCCTTTCCTCCTGATTTATAGACAACCTCCATCCCGTTTCTCTGATTGCCTCCATAGATATACATTTCAGTTCTAGATCCACTACCTATTGCCTTTGCTGGGTCCTTCTCCCATTCTTCCTAATCAGGACAGGGGTATCATACACAGGAAGCCAGTTCTTCAGCTTCCATGGAATTATGTCAGTTTGAACCAGATAAGGATATTGGCTTGATCTTCTTGAACTTTGCAGTTGTGGAGGCAAGGCTTGCTTGAGTGATCCCATCAGCTCTTTGAGAGTGTATCTGAGTATAATGGCCACACTCAAAGCTCTGTATGTGTTAAGTGTCATAAGCATGACAGCACTAGAAACTAGAGGACTTTGCTTACTGATGTGTTGTCTACACAGCCAAGTTAGACGTGCATTGGGTAAGGTGAGAATTTAAACCACTATAATAACGCTTGTATGACTACCTGTATGGTTATTGTAATACTCATACAAGATGCCCTTTTCTGGTTTAGCATATGTTACTTTGGAAGCTGTATAAAAGAAAGCACCCCAAAAGCCACTCATTCTGGAATAAGAGTATCTACATGGGGAGTTATACCTGCATAATCATAGTGGTTTAAGTACACAGACAAATATACTTGGTGAAGCTTTCCCTCATAGACAAACCCTCATACAATAAAGGGGGCACATGCTGGAGCTGTACAAACTCCCTCACGATACCCCACCAATGTTCTTCAGCTATCACGTCAAGGAACCACATCTAGTTAGTCTTCCATGCCCATTTAAGTCCTTGGCTTCTCTCTGCCACCAAGGGTGACAAGTTAGGTTTGAAAATCCCATTAGGCTCCTATCTGCATCTTAGGTGCCCAAATAACTTTGAAAATGTGTCCACAATTCATCAGAGAATATAAGCATGTGATTAAGTCGCATTTACTGAATGTGGGTGGACTTAGGCACATGCTTAAATGCTTTGCTGAATATGGATGGACTGCTGAATCCAGATCCCAGTAGGGAGCTAGCCTGGTCACCTTTTACTGAGTTCTGCAGAGTGGGGCCCTTTACACAGAAGTGACCTGCTTTTTCCTTTGGCAAGGGAGGAAAAGACAGGTAGATATTTCTGCCTTGTCTGGGATCAGCAGAAATCTGCTGGGATTTTGATGCATCTTGCCAGAAGTGACCGTAACTATTTATCTTATTTGAGAATTTTTGTTTGCTGAGCTTTTCTGCTAATTTGGTGTTTTGCTTTTTTCACCCTGGGGTAGTGAATAGAACCCTTTTATTTAACTGGATTCTAAGCACACCATTCCCCCCACCCCACTCCACTTCCGCTGAAAACTGCCTGATGAGCTGTATTTTTTGCCCACACTTTCCTTCCCTTATTCTATGAACTATTATTGCTATTTGCTCTTTGACTGAATGCCACCTATAAGAAACAGAATTCTTTTGGAATCTCTAAAAGGTTCTGAAAACTTTCTGCCTAGAACAAACTATCGCTTGACATAGAAGTGCAGAAGCTAGTAGGGCGCAGCTAATATAGCTGCTGTGTACCATTCAGTAGGTTGTTCTGCAAGTTATATTTTGGATTTCATATCAAACACCTGCTGACACATTTAATTGAGTTAGTTACAAAAAAGGATATAGAAATTATCTAAGAGGGAGGAATAATTTCCTACATTGTGAGGGTGTAGCAAAAAGTTTTTGCTAAATAAGTAAACATTGCATAGCCATTTCCCTGAACAGTCATGAAAATAATATTCCAGAATAGTTGTGGAAGACTTATACACATGATTCTTCCAATTAGAAGGAATTATTACTATATAAGGTTATCTATTTTAAGGAAGCTGGAACATATAAAATTACCTAATGTGCTGGAAGGTACGTTTTGTGCAGGGAGGTACTTGTTTGACATTATTCATTGCAATACTAAAATGAAAAACAAAATTTGCAAAATGCTAGGCTTGCAGGGCGACCTGATGCCTTGATAATCAGCATGGTTTCATTCAAGTTCTCAGTGATTCAAGTCTATATATGTTATTGACCAGTACAAAGGAACTATTCTTCAACTTGAAGTATAGGGTTGAGTTACAGAAAGTGCATAACATTTTTTTATGTAATTGACTATTGAACATATGGTACCTTAAGCAATGTTTACTTTATGTATTATTTCAGTGGACAAATTAATTAGATAAAGGGATCTGGGCTAACTTTAGCTCCCAGATGTGTACTACCTGTCAGAGATTATATGGGGTGCTTCTGGTAATTTAAGTGATCATAATTATAATAATCCAAAAATCCCATCATCAACATGTAGATATGCCTGAGTTGAGTAAACATCTAATCATAATGCAGCCACATTATTGAGAATTGCCAGATGTTGCTATTTCATACAGCCTTACAAGTTCTGCTTAACTGAATGTGGAGGCAGTCACATCGCTGAGAAATACCAGTGCTAGTTGTGGTGCTTTTTCTTAGTGGAAGCGGTTGCATATCAGCAGCAAAGTTTGTTACTGCTTTTGTCCTTTTGGTGAAATCATTTCTTACAGAACTACTTACTTCCTACAGGATATCTATACATGTAAATCAGAACAAGAAGTACATAGAATCAAAAACATTACAACTGTCCACCCTTCCCCGCCCCCCCAATTCCATACCTTGCTATCTGTTACTTCCATTCCTTATATCATGGCTGAATTTAGACTGTAATCTCTTCAGGGCAGTCACCATGTGCGTCTATATATCTGTAAAGTACCAAGCAGATTGTGGATGCTCTAAAATAATTAATTATGAAGTGGGATACACTTAAACTACCTTTTCTTGCCTAAATTAACCTTCCTAGGAATTCTGCCACCAGTGGGAAACTTTGTACATTAAGACAGGTTTCACAGTAGTAGCCGTGTTAATCTGTATCCGCAAAAAGCACAGGAGTACTTGTGGCACCTTAGAGACTAACAAATTTATTTGAGCATAAGCTTTCGTGGGCTACGGCCCACTTCATCAGATGACTAGAATGGAACATATAGTAAGAAATATATATACATACAGAGAACATGAAAAGGTGGAAGTAGCCATACCAACTGTAAGAGGCTAATTAATTAATTACAGTTGGTATGTATAACACCTTTTCATGTTCTCTGTATGTATATATATTTCTTACTATATGTTCCATTCTATGCATCTGATGAAGTGGGCCGTAGCCCACGAAAGCTTATGCTCAAATAAATTTGTTAGTCTCTAAGGTGCCACAAGTACTCCTGTTCTTTTTGTACATTAAGGGTTCCAAGAGTGCGTCACAGTGGGGGAAAGCTGTAATAAACTGCAGGTGGGGGGGAAGGCTGCCACTGTGAAATCTCCAGCCAGGTTTGAAAGAAAGACCTTTGGTGCTTATCTGAACCAAATCCACAGTCTGAACTAGAGATGGCCCCAACCCCAAAATCTGCCAGAAATACCTCTGAAAGATGGGCAAGTAACCCAATCTATTTAGGTTTTAGATAGTGCCTATCACTACAGTTTCTAAACTAGACCCAGATCAGAATAGAAATAAAAATCCTGGAATGAATGCCCCCCAATTTTTTTTAAAAATTATCTGAATTTTACAGTTTGGACCTGTTTCTGCTTGGAACATCTTGAATCTTTCCATTGACTTCAGTGAAGATAGGATCAGGCCCTAGACTGTGACAAAGTTATCAGAGTCTTCTATTTTTCAGGGTCATCAGTTTACCAGAAGCTTTCTGAGTTCATGGAATCATTTGTGACTCAAACAATGATGTGATTTACAAATTTGTATTATCTAGTGGGAGAGGGAGAGGGGGGAGTTTCAGACCCTCACATTTAGGGGTTTTTTCTAGTAAACTGTACAGCAATTGTGAAAAGCAACCCAGTAAATCTAAATTAAACTAATATGAGGGGACACTGGGTGCCTTTTATACTACACTGGAGAGAACAAGGCATAGGAGTTAATAATTAGATCTGGGAAGATCATCTTTGTGGCCTGTTCTTTTTTTTTTTTTTATGTCATTACATGACTAAATGAAGCATTCAAATGCATTCACTGAAATAATGGTGGCATACTGTGTACAACTCTTGTGTGTCACTCAGTTGTTGTTTTCTTCAACTGACGATTAGCATAGCTGTCCTGGAAAAAGTTGCATAGATCAGAATTAACAGACTCACCCTTGGTGATATTGATTGAAATTAAAATTAGAGCCGCAGCGAATTGTTCAAATCAGACCTAAACTTGGGCCCTTTGGATTCCTCCTTAATCAGTTTTGAAGAACAATTAAGAGCAAGCATGGTTCATCAGCTTCTGGGCCATGCAATGAAAATGCAGTTGAGCCACATGAACAGACTTCTTTGAGATTTCTGGTCCTACTAGCTTCTGAAATGCTTTTGTGCAATGTTGCTGTCTGGGTAAGAGAGGGGAACAGTTTTCTACACAATTAGCTCCCTCTGCTATTTAATATGAAGTAGTTTTATAGCCTCACTTCAGTTTGCTCTGCACCCAGTCGAAAGGGCAGACGGTGAGAAAAGATGGGGGGGGGGGGAGAAAGAGGCCAAGGTACATGAAGAGTGTCACCAGATAAATACATGTAGATCCACTAAAAAGCATCAGTCACTAAAGGCCAAATTCTGTCCTTGGATATGTCCAAGGAATTTCCATTGACTCCTACCAGAGTTGTACAATGTGTATCCAAGAACTAAGTATGGTCTTTAACCAGGAGGAGTGGAAACTAATGATATCGGAAAAAGGGTAGGTAAAACTGAAAGCCTAGTGTGGACACAATCATACCAATACAACGGTGCTTTATACTAGTATAGATGTTTTTTTACAAGCATCTTTACAATAGTATGCCCAGTGTGAGTTTTCCAGCCAGCCAGCCAGCCCCCCTTCTATTCCCCCTCCCCATGGCTTCGCAAGGTAGCATGGTGACTTTGCCTCAGTTTCCCTACCCCACCACTCATCTAGCTCTGTGACAGATGGCTTCTCCTTATGACTCTAGTTGGTTTGTTAATAGTCTCATCCCTTCCAGGGCAATAAACAAACAGTACAATACACCAGAAGTCCTATGTACGCAGGAATGGGTCAATAATCCCAGCCCCCAGCAGAGTCCTGACCTCTTTGCTGGGGATGGTAGGAGAACTCAGACCCTCCCATCCAGTCATGCTTCTGGGTTCCAGCCCAGGAACCCTGTATTAAGCAGCTAGGACCCGTTCCTCCCAGTCCCTTGCTCCTGCCTACTTCCCCTCTCTTATAGGCTTTTTCCAGACACAACTTCTCCTCTCAGTAGTCTTTCTAGGAACCATCTTCTCCTTTGAGCTGCAGCCTTCTTATCCCCCAGCTGTTGCTGGACCAGCAATTAGCTGCAGCTGAGGAGATAGCAAGCCTACCTGTTAACCCCTTAGTGGCTGTGGAAGAAGGGGGTCTATACATGGTAAAACTGTGTCCACACTAGCAGACTGTTCTGCTTTAACTAAAGTGGTTTCAGATTGATACAGGTAAAGCAGTACATACACTGTGTGCAGACCAGCTCTCAGAACAAGTTCATAGTAAAGATCCTGCTGTAAAAGCCTTTAGGAGCATCACTGATCAGAAGTGAGACCCATTTGCGTGCATGCCTTGCTAATGGTTAGACCACTCTAGGGAGTGTCCAAGGTGAAATCCACTTGCCAGTACACAGCCTGTGTAAATGAGCTGTGTGTGAGAGAGAGGATGGACTCTCCCCTCTCCCATCCAGGCTACTTCACTACTGTGTCCTCTTTTACCCCTGTGGCAGCACTATCATAGGTCCATGCCCCCATACCTTAAAATGCCTTTGCAATAGGTCTTGGAAGATCAGTAGTATAATGGAGGTGCAGACTCCCTGTAGTTACTTCCTGCAGCCAACTGCCTGTTTAGCAGAAACATGCTGGTCCCACTGGGTTCAGAATCTTTCACATCTTCAGAGGGGTCAGAAGTAGGGATTATTCCTTATGCTGATTCCTGGGTTCCTGAATGGAAAAATGGAACAAGAAAAATAGATTTGAAAAGCAACATAATTTCCCTTTGATTCAGTGACACAGATGCACTTCCCAAAAGGCTGGTCCTAGGGTAGACCCCCAGGCGCCAGCTTCCAGGGAGCACCAGACTGTTATACTGCTCTGCTGATTGGCCAGCCATTTTGGAGCAGGGGAGAGGTTGCTAAAGTGGGGAAGGGAGGGAAACCAAAAACATTTTCCACCCAGGGCTGCTCCTGACTTCCCATGTGTGCTTGAAGGGATGTTTTTTGTATGGGTTTGTGCTTTAAGTCATACTCAAACTGAAATATTATGAGTCACATTAATTCTGCAGAGCATCTATAAGTAGACTGTTTAGTAAGGATCAGAGAACTGAGGTCAAAGAGGGTTGAATATAAGTAGGAGACACAAGCAGTAGAGAAGAATTCCTTAGTTACACACAGCTACTGTATTAATGAATGTATCCAGGTTTTTAGTAGAAAGATAAGTTACAGGGCAAAATAACAGAGAAAGGGAAACTGAGCTCTGACTTTTCATTTTAATTTATTTTTGTGTATAAAGGCAATGATTTGTGACTTGTTTAAAGGCTATCCAGTTCTTAACATGAGTGATTCCTAGAGAAACTTGAGAGGGTACTCACAGTTGCTATAACACAAAATGTCAAAATGGCCCTTCCTCCCAGAATTAGATCAGTTAAAGTGCGGCCAGCAAAGTCATAGCCATTATCTTAGACAACGTGAGTCAGATAATCTTTTTTTTAGGGGAAGAAAAGCAGCACATTAGATTACATTCCTGTTCTGTTGCTCAGAGTGCTCTCAGTCACAAAATGACTTCTTTATTATTATGATCAGTGACACCAATTCTTTAAACGAGAACTTACCATAATGGAATTTTGAGCTGAGTAGGACAAATAGCTGTGTCTTTAAAAAGATAACCTTAAATAGGGCCAAAAAAGCACATGCAATAACCATTGACTTCAAGTGGTATGGATCACATGCATCCTGGGGCAGAATTTGACCAATATTTTCATGAACTAATTCAAAACTGGTCCACGTGAGTATTTTTGTATTTGTTGGTTTTGCTCCTGTGGGTGATTTCCTGTTCTTAATCTTAATTCACTCCCTTCAAAAGATACCTAGTACTGGGACCCACTATGTCACAGATCACAGCAGACACTCATTCTGATACTATCCTCCATGACTAATGTGCTATCAATGTTGGACACTTCCTCTGGATTATTTTTCTTTTCACTAAGAGCTTCTGAAAAAGGCATAGTGTATGTGAGTGAAGGAATAGACGGAGAAAATTCCATTTCCTGTTCTATTTGTATCTCATCTCTTTGAGCTTGTATTTGACCTTACTCTGGGAGTGGGTGCATCCTCCATAACTCAGATCTAGTGGGAAATATTACACTGAGGATTTTTGTTTTTATAGCTGCCACTTCCTTAATCTCCACGAGCACAAGTATTTGTAAATTGCTCCTTTTAACTTGGTAGAAACTAAAATGTTCTGGTTTCTTATGTAGGCAAGCTATGCTTACTCTTAAAATAAACTGTGAGGATCTAGCACTATTTTGGAAACTGTCCATAGTGAAGTTTCTTTAACTCAATGGCTGCAACAATAGTAGAAGAGTCTACAAAATAAACAAAAGCAATAATACAAACACCAAATGAAAAGGAAAGTCCATCTCTTATATTAATATAACTAAATATCAGGGGTGGCCAAACTGTGGCTTGCAAGCTGAATGCGGTTCTTTTACAGTTAAAGTAGGGCTCGTGGAGCCCCCCAGACCTCCAACATTCTCCATCTACCAGACTGGGGGGAGCTCGGGACCTCTGCCTCACAGTGGGGTAGTGGGGTAGGGGTTTCTCCAAGTGGGGTGAGGGGGTCTCAGGGCTTCAGCCCTCTAAGGCACACCTGCTGGGGCTTGGGGTTCAGCAGGAGCAGGCTGAACCCCCAGTCCCAACCAGTGCCTCCCACGGAGCTGAAGCCCCAAACCCCGGCAAGTATGCCCCGTCTCTTTAATGTCTGAAGATTGTCATATGCAGCTCAGAGAGTCAGTAAGTTTGTCCACCCCTGCTATATATGCCAAAAGCTTGCTACAGGGGTGAAGTATTTTGAATGGCAAGTAGGTATTTTAGCAGGATAAGCTAATCTCTTTGAACCATATGAGTTATTAAATTAAATCTGTAAAATGGTAGTTCTTTCATGTCCTCTTATATATTCCAGATGTTTGTCATCATCATGTTCAATTTTTTGCTTTTGTTAATTTTAAAAAATGCTTTAATACTAGTTATCACTTCAGCAGCTGGAATATAACTTGAACAATATACAAATGTATTCCCTGTAGCATTTCTACATGTTCTTCCTTCCTCTATTTCTATTGCTCCCTTTTTTTTCATACCAAAATTATGAACACAAGTTGAACATTTAAAATTCCAGTATTTGTTTATTAATTATAGTAAGACTAGATGCAATGGGGCATCTCTCTCCCCCATGCAACGCCCCTGAAGTCAATGGAACTTCACCAGAAGAGTTTTTTGGCATATTTTCTCCAGCTAGAAAAATATATGTATCATAGGTTACTGGATGTTATGGTTATGATACAACAATGAAACCTGAGCCAACTATGAATAGCATATTATCCTTCAGAGATGTAGTTATCTTTTAGCAGATTTCAAATATTTGACATCCATAAATATATAAAAGTCAGTGATGATTCCATAACAGCAACAATTCGGAGGAGTGTTTAAGGAAATTAGGCACCTAACTACCTTGGAGGATCTGGCCCTAAATGGCTCACAAAACTTTGTCCCACTACTAGCCTGCATTATCCAATTACCCACCCAAGAGCCTAATCCTGTAAGGAAGGCATGATGTAGTCATGACTTTGGCAGGCCCTGTGGAGTCTGACTTTTAAGAGGGACTGACTGCTTCTTTGTCTTCCATGTTTTCCTAAGTGTTGTAAAAAAAATTAAAAAAAGCACACCACATGGAGTAGTATTATCTTTTTATTTTTTAAATGAGGTCCTTTGTACATGCTCAAGTACCATTACAGCACCTGTGGGAAAGTAACTTTCACATTACCTCCAAAGTACTCTGGCAAACCACCTCTTCTCTGAGAAGGAGAGATTACGGGGTAGCTAAGGCATTTGTTAGCTGTGACAACACTGTTGGTATAATGGTGGAGACATCTTTTGTATGCATCACAAGTTGATATCTGGATTGATGCAGCAGTTAGAGCACTGAACAACAAGGGCAGCAAGGTGCTGCAGTCCACACTCTGCGATCTTTTCATTGTGCATTCCTACACCATGTTTGACCATCTGCATTGCTGCTCCACAGTTACACTCTGAAGATTAGACCAAGACAAATTTCTGTATTGTGGCAGCACTCTGGTCATTCCTGACAGCAGCCTGTTAAGCCTAGTCCAGAAGCTGCCTTCCAGGTTGCAAACAAGTGGATGTAAAGTAGGACTTCTGAACTTCATCAGTGTGCCTGTCTCTGCACCTCAGAGTTGCTGTGACTCTGCGAGGCTGTGGCAGTAGACACAGCAAGGATGACAGATTTCTCGTGGCATCCCCTGTGAGTAGCGCAAGCAAAATGAAAGTAGACACAGGTTTTCATTCTAAGCAACAATCAGCCCAAATGAAGGCCCATGGTTGCCTGCTATGCTGTATTGTTTGTCCCATCCATCCCATTGTTGTATCTATAGGGATGTGCTATTGTGCATAGGGATACAATGAAGAGTAAAACCTCATTTCATTTAGTACTGTGTTTTCATAAAGATGCATTGTGTTATACTCCTAAAACTGGCAACTGTGCAACTACCTTAAACCATATCACTTTGTGATCTCCTAAGCATTGCAAGGTCTCTCTGCCATGGGAAAGGTGACGTGCTGCAGAAATTAATGTTATTCTTTCAGTAGGTGGCACTGTTTCTGCTGAGTTAATACTGACCCAGTGTCCCCACATGGTGCCAGGAAGAACTGTGCTGCTGGAGGTGCTATATTTCAGGTGAAACATAAAACTGATGTCCTGACTATTCTTGGTCATTTGCTTTTATTTATTTATTTTTGCAATGGTTGGGCTATTAATGTTAGTGTCCCAGCCAAATTCCAACTGTGCAACTACATTAAATCCTGCCTATAGTTTAAGCTCATCTCCTACAAGCCATGTTTTACAGACAGTGCTGCTGTTAGAGTAGCTGCATTTCAGTAGTGTGTGAAGTGGTGGCTACATATAGGGGTTGTAGGTACTCCAGCACAGCACGATGAAATCCAGGACTGAATCTGGCCCAGTCAGTAAAGCACTTTGGAATCATTCAGGAGTAATGGAACCATATAACTGTATGGAAATTATTATTGGAGAAAGGTAATTAAATAAAACCCTGTCAAGTGACTAATAGAAAAAAATACTTCAGATTCTCACATTCTGGAACTAATGTAAGAGTTGTTAAAAATGGCTAAACTAAATTTTTTTTTGGCCCTTTCCCAAAATGACATAGCTCCCTGCATTTGCTTATAAATTCAATGTTTAAACTTTGTGACTAGTGTAACCCTTGTAATTCAACATCATTCCCCCTGATGTTTTGATTAATGTACTTTAATGATTAGAACTCTACTGTAGCTCCTTTGTTAATATAAATCCATGTTACAAAGAATTGTGTTCCCTCTACCTCTCAATTAAACAGTAGTGCCAGTGGTTTGTTGCTAGACTGGTGGGAATATTACTTGAATAATCCATCTCTAGTTCTGTGGTCTTAAAGAGCCACCAGTTCATGTTTAATTAAATCTTTAGTAAGTTTGTAACAGCATTTCTTACATCAATCCTTATTACAGATCATCTTTAAATAGAATGTACAATAACATATTGAAATATATATACATAAATGCCTCCATTATAGGATTAAAATTAATATCAAGATAAAATCCTGTTTTTCACTACAAGAATCGGGTTTTAAGAAAGCATGAATGTAGCATTGTAATATTGACAACTCGTGCAGTTTTATCGTGAATATTGTGATATTTGCAGTGTTCTTTAAAGCCACAACTACTGGAATCAGGTTATCTTCAAATTGCAGTTCTCATTAAAAAATAATAGTAAATTTCTAGTCCTCC